CTCTCTCTCTCTCTCTCTCTCTCTCTCTCTCTCTCTCTCTCTCTCTCTCTCTCTCTCTCTCTCTCTCTTCCCGATGCTGGAGATGATCGCGTGCAGCTCCAAACCCGCCTCTTGCTCGTGCCCCGTCTCGTCAATCGAGGACGTTCTCCCTCGACATGCAGCACAGCTCAGCACGCCAGCCGCTCGGTTACAGGGAGCAAGCGATCCAGTCGTTAGAATCACATAGCCACACGAACGACTGAATTAGCTTGCGCGGCTCAGTGCAAGCCAATCCGCCCGTTGTCACCACTTCGGTTAGCTCACCTACTCTTGTTCTCTGCCTTCCATGGCAACAACTAAACCTCCATCGCTAGTTAGTTCTGTCTCGATGATCGACTGCGTTGTGAGCTACCCCTACGTCAGACTGGCAATCAACCCTTTGCAGCCGTCAAAAGACCTGGAAACCTGCCTTTACTTGCGGGCTGGAACCGGCTGGATTTTAGAGCGCTGTCTCAGCCAGCTCACGACCTTCCTAGGCGGGATCGACTTGGCTGGTAGCGCGCACCAGCCCGGCTCCGACCACTAACATTGAGTCATTGACTACTAACCCCTCTCCCCCACTACACCGTACCGTAACAAACATTGACTACTGGCGCCAACCCCGCCCAGTTCCCCGTTTCCGCCTGTAGTATGACTCACCAGCCTGCTGCTGTTCTTTCCCCTCCAAATCTGTTCCTCCCGCACACACACCCTCGCCCCCGCCTTCTGAATCCCCGCCTTTTGCGACTGCCCCATTCCACAGTGTCTGCCGTGACTGCCTGCTGCAGCCCGATCTCGATCTCTATTCCGCTTCGAGTACGACGCGCTGCTGGCGCTTCGCTGCTGGCGGTAGCAAGCTCTGACGCATACACATGCGGCGCCGGCTCGACTGAGCTCCCGACAAGCATAATACACTCCACTTGAATTTGCTGTGCTGCAGTCTCTCCGGCGGGGGGTTCCCATGGCAGTGGCGGGGCCCCGAAAATTTCGAACTAAACTCCGAAGGACAGGTTGAGTTGAGAAAACTCGTGAAACCTTTCTCGACGCCCCGATCGCTGCCAACTTCGAGGGTCGCAGCTACCGTAGTTAGTCGGCAGTCGGCAGTATTTTGTGTACGGCAGTATTTTGTGTATTTTGTGCCGGCTGCGTGTCTTTCGATCGACATCATAGAATAGAAATCCTCTCCCTTCTCACCTTCGGGGGGGGTCTGACCTTGACACCCTTCACATTTCCACGGGGGTGCCGGGGCGGAATCGCCTCTTCAACTAGAACGAGGTCAGTACTGAACCAGAATGGGTAGGCTCGATAATCCAGAGGCATGTCTCTCCTCATGTAGACAGCCAGATGCATGATATGCACCTGGAGTACGAGGTCGGGCAGGTACTTTCTGACAGCCCTGTTGCCAGGATGGTGTAAACCTTATTACTCACTGAGTTGAACCTTGGCCCATTTTCTATAGGAACGCAGAAGCAGGCTACCTCGTTGCTCAGACCTTTCCCAGGATGTAGTTCTAAGGTTTGCATTTATGGAATGCTGATGATGTCAACCATGCTACAAACATGCATTCTTTTTCATGCTGTTTTGCTGAAGTCCATAGCATTATTTTTATTTTTATTTATTTTTTAATAAAGAAGTTATATTTCCAAAAGAGCAACGAGGACGCCACGGGGGGCCAGGGCCTAGCACCGGTCGGCGCCACCGGTCGGCGCCAATGCGCTCCGCCGCTGCACGACCGGACTTCGGCTTCGGCAGAATCCGTGCCACCTACCAGGGACCTACCGGCGTTGATAGTCCCCTGGTTCTTTGCACCATCGCCCTGTCACGAGGCGGATATGGCTGACTGGCTTAAGCCATAGGTTTGCAAGGAAAGGTGGGGAGTTACCCCCGGTCCCCCAGAAAGAAGAAGAGTTCGTTGGAGGCGTTCTGAGGAGGTAGAGTAGGGAAGCAAAGGAGCTGTATGGAGAGACGTGGACGCAAAAGTCGTAGCCAGCGCGTAAACCCTGAGGCAAGGGGGCAGAAGTGATGGAAGGAACAGGGAGGCAGGAGGGAACTGGAAGGTCCCCACCTACCGGCCCTCACGAGGAAGGGAATTATTGGGAGGATGAAGATCGCTCCAGAGAACTGCTGGCGTTTTGACGATGGGGTTTACCCCACGGGCATCAACCCAGGCGAAATGACAATCGACGGAAGGGAGGCACACTTCAAACTCAACACGACACTTGATGACATCAAAGTTAAATGGTTGAAAGAACGCACAGTGACGGTAGTGTTTAAAGATGCCACCCGTTTTCTGCCAAAAAATGTCAAAGACGATCTGGTTAGGGCTTTTGAGGATGGTTGGGTGTTAGGGAATGAGCAGTTTACAGAAAATACGCGTAGAGGGAGAGTAAAAATAGAAGGACCAAGTGCAGTCTCGTACATAGCGAAATCGTCGGATCCGGCCCGATATATGATTAGTGAAGGTAGCCTGATTAACGAAGAATACAAGGTTTTATTTAAACCCTGGATGACGCGAGCAGAGTTCGGAGCGATGAGGAGACAGGAAGACGAGAACATTTTCTGGGTTACGGCAGTTCAAGTTCCCTTGGACGATATGTCATATATCCATGCTCAGATTGAAAGGGCAATTGACCCTATCATTCGAGCATACCCAGCAGATGCAGACCCAGTGCGCCCGGCGTTGGTCAAAGTGAAATTCGAGTTGGATCCAGCAGCACGTCCAAATATGAAGGACAAAATTTGGATCGAAACTCCCAAGGGCGATAAATTGGAAATCTGCCTTGCAACCGCAGGTACACTTAAGTGTAGAAAGTGCAGGCAGTTCTTTCATTCGGAAGAGGAGTGTAGGAGAGAGAGAAGAAACGCACGCCAAGATCAAGCAGGAGGAGAGCAGGGAGCACCGATGCAGCACCAATCGAGAGAGCAATCCAGACAAAGGGAAACAAGATCGAGATACCAAGGTACATTGGGACCAAGACCATCACAGCGACAGGAACAACCTGCGACCAACCACGCATCATCCACAAGAAATAATCTGATTTTCTCTCCACAGTATTCCGGGGGGCAATCCTTAATAGGAGGGATGGTGGGCCAAGGCCCACCGGGCCTCTTCTCCGGAACAGGTTCGGGACACAACGTGACGGAGCAGCCGACCGCAGCAGTGCAAGAAACAGAGGCGCTAAGGCAATACTACGCTTGGGCGGCCTGGCCGCGGCCATGGTGATGGCAAATAGAGGATTTGTCGACCTAACGGGAGCCCTCCCACAGCAGGGACAAGGACTACGCGGACCGTGAAATTACCCTCAAGGGTCGGGCTTAGGCCCGTTCCCCTTTCAGGAAGCAGGGGGAATAAAGGCCAAATCAGGAACAAGGGAGAGGAGTAAATATAAATCACAACCAGGATGGAAGCGCTCAAAACGGAAGAGGACAAGCAACCGGAGGGCCAAGCAGACAAACGGAGGGAGATATAGGAGGGACGCGCCCGGTCAGCACGCCCGTCTC